GATGAAAAAACCGCCATTAGAAAAGCAAGATATAGAACTCGAGAAAGAATCTGAAGAGACAAAAGAAAATGATCCTGAGGAGGATTCTAGTGAGGACGAGGACAACAACAGTAATATCGATAAGGAAAATCAGGCACATGAAATGGAAGAGCTTGAAACTAATAAGAAAACTGAAGAAAAAAGTGATCAGAATGCAGAAACTGAGAACAAAGACGAGGAGCAGAATCAGGAAAAACAACTACAAGAAAAGGCAGCACCGAGCGCAAATGATGCGAGCAAAGAAATAGATGCTGCACAACAAATTGAAGAAACGACGGAAGGTTCACGTGATACAGTAGCGCAACAATCGGATACGAAAGATCAACAGGAAACTTCATCTGAGAATACTCAAGAGGACAATATTGATAAAGGCACAGGCCAATCACAATCGGCACAACAGGAGAGCGGGCATTCAGGATCATCTAAGCAGGAAACTGTTTCGGCACCGCAAAATAACACTATGACAAAACCAGTCGAGAAGAGGAAGAATTTGGGTGAGAGTAACGAGGATCGCAGTCTGTTGGACAGATTTGAGTCGACGCTAAAGAAATTAAAAACGACCTATACGCAAGACGAAGTATCGACGGATGAAAAAGATGATACAAGCAATGCTGATGGCAATAAGGCTGAGATGGCTCAACACATTAAGGATTCCGAGAAATTCGACGATTACACACTCGATGCCGCAACGGAAGATCAGGTCAAACAACAAGCTTCTAACATAGATAAGGATAAAAATGAGGAAGAAAAAAAGGATGACACTATGGACGTAGAAATGCATGAAGATAAGGAAAACGATGTGACGCATGATAAAATAAATGAGCAAAAACCCGAAAAGGTCTCTGAAATTACAGATAACCAATCCAAAAAGGATTCCGATGGTAAAAGAAACATGGAGAACAATCAAATAGAGACAACGGTCGAATTAGAAGGAGAAACAGCAGAGACGATGAAAGTGGAAAGAGGAAACGAATCTACATTTCATACGATGGAATGGAATATTGAAGAAAATGAGAGCTCCGATCTTAGCTCCGATTATGTGGAAAGAAAGCGATTCGAAATGGAAAGAATGTTGGATGAATGGACGCAAGTGCCTTCCACAGAGGAAGCTACAGCTGGATGGAACTGTTTGTGTTCAGTTACAGATGCAGCTGCTAGAGATTTATCCGAAAAATTAAGATTGGTGTTGGAACCCACGCAAGCATCGAGACTGAAGGGTGATTATAAGACGGGCAAACGCATCAATATGCGAAAAATCATTCCTTATATAGCTAGTCAATTTCGCAAGGATAAAATCTGGCTCAGACGCACAAAACCCTCGAAACGTGACTATCAGATCGTCCTTGCATTAGACGATTCCAGCAGCATGGCAGATAATCATTCGAAAGAATTGGCGTTCGAATCCTTATCGCTGATTAGCAAGGCTATGACATACCTTGAAGTGGGACAACTTAGTGTCATAAGCTTCGGAGAGCAAGTAAAAGTATTGCATCCTTTAGGAGAAGCTTTCACAGAACAAAGTGGATCTAGGTATTTTTATATAATTCCTATAAACTTTTAATATTTAATTAAATAAAAGTTTAATATATATGGCTTCGAAAATAAAATTAGATGAATAATATTAATCTTGGTCATTACTTTACTCATTTAAACTTCAGTTACTGTTTAATCTTGTTTTTTACTTGGGATAATCTAATTTGATTTTAATAATATAATTGGAATTTTACATTTTACTTAAGATTTTTTTTCTATTTACAGGCTAATACAAGAAATGAGGTTTGATCAAAAAAAGACAATGATTGGAGAATTAGTCGATTTTACAGTAGATATGTTCGAGAGTCAATGTACTTCATCCGACAATGCTAAACTATTGGTAGTATTATCGGATGGTAGAGGAATATTTTCAGAAGGAAAAGAAAAAGTGAATTGTGCTGTCAGGAGAGCCAGACTTGTAGATATTTTCCTAGTGTTTATAATAGTCGACAATCCAATTAATAAGGTAATTTTTAATCATATTTAAAAATGATAAAGGGTTATTACATCTTCAGATAAACTATATGATAATTTATCTAATTGATAAACAAGAGTAAAAGTATAAGACCCGATTACACCAACATTACTTTGACTTTAAGCGAGGCTTAAAACTTACTTTTTCTCTTTAAAGTCGAGAGGAGAGATAGAGTTTTAAGTCTCGTTTAAAGTCAAAGTAACGTTGGTGCAATCGAGCCTAAGAGCTTAAGAGAGTTAAAGTCGAAGTTTATCAAAAGATGGAATGATCCAACCTAAATTAATAATTACCGCGATAATAATTCTGTCTAAATACTATTAAAAACATGTTTAAAAAACTGTTATTAATAATCTATTAATTTTTTTCAGGATTCAATATTGGATATCCGTATGCCTGTGTTTGAAAAAGGAAAATTATTAGGAATTCGATCGTATATGGATAATTTCCCATTTCCTTTCTATATGATTCTTAGAGACATAAACACATTACCGGGTGTTCTGAGCGATGCTTTACGCCAATGGTTTGAAGTAGTCGGAAAAATTGATACTTAAAAGAGCTATAATAATTTCAAATATTCAGACTTAAGAAATTAGTATAAGTCATAAAAGTTGAACTTTAGACATATAAAACTAATTAGGTATAAATAAATATATATAAGTATATGTATATATGTAAGATACGCCTTTTATGTAGAGTGTCTATGCATATGTATGTGTGTATTATAATATGATATCATAAGCTTTTAGATATATTTTTAAACGAAATTGTCAAAAATATAAATACGTTTTAATAAAAAAATTCTTTAGTAAATCATAAAATTTTTTGACATTTAAATAAAAATTAACTTTGCACAACTAAGGATCTCTTTTATTAATTTCTGATTAAATTAATCGATGATTATAACTCGATTATAAACAGAAGTGCCAATAAGAGTTTAATTTGTCACGTCTTTTTTTTTCTTCCAAATCAAATTATGTTTAGCTCTCACGTTGGCAATCATGATGATTGAGTTAATCATCGATTAGCGTTAATCGACGAAATTGGTGAAAGAGACTAATAGCGAATGCAATCACTTGCATTACAGTAGATTAGACAGTTCGGATTTGTAGTACATGCACGACGATGAAGTAGCAAATACAACGATGTAGCAGAAGATGGACACAATTAATCTTGCATACTAAAAGTTATTATAAAATTAGTAAAGTTAAATGTAAAAACATATAAATATTTTAAACGATTAAACAATTAATGTTATTATCACGTTATTTAACGAAATGTTCACATATTATTTCATTATCAAAGATGTATTATATCACTGTAAGTATTTTAAGTACTTTATATAAAGCGCTTTTAATAAATACTAATTCAGTATATAATGAAAAACCAAATCAGACACAATAGTATGGACCAAATTCACTATAAATTACATAAGCTGTGTTTAAAAATTTACTGCCAGTACTTGAAAATCTCTAGTTTACATTACTACAAACTTTCAATACTGGTGATAAATCTTGGAACAGCTCAATAATGTGATTAAGATGGATAATTAGGCCAATATTAAATTTGTTATCTTCTGTTCATCTTCTGCATTAAATCTAACTTATTTAATTTTATCGTAGGCTCTCAGAATAGTATATCGATTTTTATTTAATCCTCTAGTGATGATTCTTAAAAAAAAATTAGTTTTCGCCATGTTGCACCGTTTTTGCCATGATTTTTGCTAAAAAAAAAAAAAAAAGTGATACATAAAAAGTCAATGTGTTACATTATCGATATATATCGTGTGTGCAAGAAGAGATATATCGATCTAGTCTTTCTCTAGCAGGTAGAAATACTATACTTCAGTGTTCAATGCGACATACATTTCTATCATCAGTTTTTAAATGTAACTAATTTGCAGATCCTGAATTTAATTTTAAAACAAACGCTACAAATTTAAAATACTTACTCCTAGAGGGTTAAATTAATGAATTTTTTAAATATAGAAATTCATCATAAGATAATTACAAAAATGATCAAATGATTAAGACAAGAGCTAAATTATTATAAATGTTACTGAATTAATAATCACATACAAGTTATTTTAATATAATAGTTGTTTGTCGTTTTATAATAGTACATATATAACTAACAGTCTCCAGATAACACAAAGTCCAAAATCGGGACATAAACATCTAAAAAATATTTAAAAATTCTTTCACAAATACTTAGGCTAGTATCCATAGTTCTGTTTCTAATTTTAAGACCGTTTCAAGCAATGTCTTAAGATGCAAATACGGTTCTTGACCGGTATTCATAGTCAGTTCTTATATTCAAGATCGTCTTAAGTAATGTCTTAAGTCGCTAATGCGGCCTTCTGATTGATTTGTGACTTCTTAGAACTGTACTAAGACGGTCTTGAATATAAGATCTGACTGTGAATACCGACCAGAGAGCCGCATTAGAGTCTTAAGACATTACTTAAAAAAATATAAAAAAGCCTATCAGAGCCTACATCGCTGTGCAGGCTGTTCGGATGAATAGAAAACTCTTTATTTTCGTGTGAATGTAACAAAACGAATAAAATAAATGTTTCGATCCTTCAATTTAGGTCCTTATCAATATAGAATATAAATCTAAATTACATAAGTAATGCAAATTCCAAGATGGTGATTCCTGATAATTTAGCTCATTTTTCTTTATTCAAATGCCAAATTAGCTATGTAATGAATAGCCAAATGATTATCAAAAATATTATTTATACAATAATAATATAAAAACTTACATAAAGTAAAACCGGAGTTATATACATTGCGTCAAAAAGTAGAATCACATCACTCATCAAATTGTCAGATTTGCTATGTAGTCATTCAAAAGAAAAACGAAAACCGAAACAATTAGAGAATTATTAAAATTATTTATCTGAATTTTAATTTTGAATTTACAGAATAATACGTATTCTTTAGACCCACTATATATGAATGTTTAAAATGAAATAAGACTTAAGTAATAGTCTTAAGTCTATAAGAACTATAGTCTTGAAATAAGAACCGACTATGAATACCAGTCTTCTGATTGGTTTATCTCAACTATTAGCTTAAGATCATCTTGAAGCTTGAGCAATGTCTATGGATTCCGTCCTTAAAATGTTAAGTGTCAAGTGTTATTAGACGCTGGAATTTTAGCGCATGCGCGCCGAATGTTTTAATAATATATATGAATAAGTATCCATAATGCAATCTTTACATGATCAATAATGCGTCGGCCACAATACACGAAATAAAAAGTAAGAGTAAGAAATTGACCAATCATAACCGAATGTGAGAAAAATAATCGACTGTGATTAGTTAATTTTTTACTTTTAGGCTCAGTTTCACAATTCATGGTTAATTCTTAATCGAGGTTTAACTTATTTTAAGTTAAGGCTCATGAGTAAAAAATGATAAAAGGTATGTGTAAGTGAAAATAAGCTACGCATGTGCATTGAATAAAAGCATTTCATGTGCCTTTCACTTTTTACGATTATTTATTGACTGTCAGAGAGGATAAGCATAGTTTTCGTTCATTTTTACGAATGTTTTAAAGCAATCTCATCATTTTGTTTTATCTAAATTATCTTTATTTATAAATGGCACGTAATAAAAATTAACGTGTCATTTCTCGCTTCTAACATCACGATTCAATATGGCTGTGATGACTATTGAGGAGGCCTTAAACCTCGGTTAAAAGTTAATCATGAGTTGTGACTGGGCTTTAATCGGCTGATTAGTCCATTGGAACTGACCAATCGCATTTATCATTTCGTTTGATGGCAGATGCGATTGGCCAATTCCATGAATTAATCGACCGATTAAGCTAATCGGCGTTTCGTAAAGTGACCCTTACTTCTTACTCCGTGCATTGTATAGACGACGCATAATACTGATTAGTAATATTAAATGTAATACTAATAGTATATATCAGTATTTTTACAAGCTTACACAATCAGTATTACTGATAATATTTCAGCATAGTTTTATAAGTATTATGTTTATAAATTAACTTATTTTTGTTCTGGGCCGAGCCCACCAAGACTCAGGACGCGTTCACATCTTGACAGAAAAATGCAGCTAATCAGATCGCTAGCGCTGATAATTGATAATTTCGATTTTCTATTGCTTAAGGCTATCGCAAACAAAATTTCGTAACAATAACCATAAGACGTAAGCCAATGAACCAATTAGGATATTACTTTAGATCTATGTAATCTAATAGAAATATAAATAGCAGTAAACTTACCTGTTGAACTTCGTCTTGTGGGTAAGTTTACTATTTTTATTTCCGTTACTATCAACATGAGTTTTGATTGCTGTTTTCTGCTTTCTATTTTTCTGTCAAGGTGTGAATGCACTTTTACGCACTTATTTTTGCTATATTTGTTGTATTCACTGTTTCACTATTACGTATGCGCTAAAAATTCGGCCTATTTAACAATACTCATGGGCTTTCTACAATGAACTATTATCTAAGCTTAAGCCTTAAGAAATTGACCAATCAAAGTCAAATGTGGAAAGAATAATAGAGTATAATTGATTAATTTCTTACGGCTTAAGACTTAAAACCTAGGTAACAGTTTATTGTAGAAAGCTCATCAGTCTTATGTCCTGATTTTAGATTTTGTGTTGTCTACACCTACTTTCTGTACCTAGTAAATTATATAACGTATTGATTAATTAATTCAAGTATTTTGTACTAAGCTTAACCAACTTCTGCCTTCTCCATCTACAGAAGTCGGAAATCTAATCTGCACCAATCGCACATTCTTGTCTTCTTCTTGCGAAGCGGATGGTACAACTATTGTCTCGCCTTCTTCATTCTCGTTATAGGTGTATACTGTTTCTACTTTAGTTTCAACTTTACAGTCGTCTGCAGTAACTTCACTCTCCACAAAATTTATCTATGAAACAAAACGATGTTTAATGCAATAAAATAATAAATTATTTTGCAGCAAACTTTTAAAAAATTCTATTATTTTACCTGATCTTCAACAAGATGATTTACTTCATCGGTTACGGTTTCTTCTGCTGGTATATTTAATACAACATCCTCTTCATTATATATTTGATCTTCCCCTTCTTGTATAATTACGTGATCTTTTAGTTCAGTTACATATAATCCAGTTTCATCAAGCTAAATAAGCAACAATGCATATAATAATAAAATTTTACGTGTTATACACACACACGCACACATGCGCGCGCGCGCGCATACACATATACACACACACACACACACAAACACACAAACACAAATATTTTACGACACACCGCACGCACGCACGCACGCAGACGATATTTGAGATTTTGGGTTCGGGTCGGGTCGGGAATTTTTTTCGGAATCAGGTCGGGACCCGAATGTTTATAATGTTCGAAACCCGAATCTAAAATCAGGCAATGATTATAGATGTAAAAACTTTTTACCGACAATAAATGTGATGCTCCTTCATGATCGGGTACCTAAAATTTACGGGTATCCGAACATTACAAAAATTCTCGACCCGAACCCGAAGCTCGAGTACTCGTAATTTCGGGAATCCGCACACCCCCCCTAGTAGTTTTGTATTTATAGATATTTGTGTACATTTTTTATTTGTAAATGCATAAAAGCATGTAAAAAGTTAATAGTCTATACAATAGTATATACTATATACTATATATATATTCTGTATATATCACAAAATTACCTCTTCATTCTCAACTTTGTCCATTAGTAGTTCATTATTATTGGGAATAGTTATTACTTGCTCTTCTTCCATTGTCAGTCGTGGTTGGTTCACTACTATGGTATCATTCAAGTGACCCTAAATAATGAATAATATTTTATAGATCAATGTATTATAGTAGAATTAGAATAATCTATATAAAGTCTACTTTAGACGATCTATAATTCACGATCAAATTCGGAACAGAATTCTATTTATAATATTATATGTTGTGTAATATAAAAAATATTAAAAGAAGTAAAATATACACATATAGAAAATATATATTAGTGATACATATTTTCTATATTGAGTATATTTTATCTTCAAATATTTTCTATATTATACAACACGCAAAATTATAAATAGAAGTCTGTGCCGAATTTAATCGCAAATTATAAATTGTCTATAAAGTGGATTTTATATCATTATATGTTTTATAACCATTATAAATATATATCAAAAATAAAAAGATAAAGAATTTTGCTTATAGATTAAAATTTTTCTCGTATATTACCTGAACTTGCATGTGTGCGTAAAGTAATGGTTTTCTCATGAAGCCCATGCCACACACCAAACATTCATATGGCTTTTTATCGCTATGTATAAATCTATGAGCGTTTCTGTTATCTCTGCTATTAAATGCTTTACCGCAAACCTAAAAAGCAGCAAATTTATGAGTACAGAAACATAAAAATAAAAGTAACCAAATGAGGAATAGTTAGAAAAAAACATTTCTAAAAAACTATTCTAACAATAATTTTAAAGATCATACCTCGCAAAGATATGGTTTTTCGCCTGTATGTATACGTGTATGTTTCTTAAAGTGCTCAGGGTAGACAAATGTAGCTGCACATATGTCACATTTATACGGTCTTTCACCGGTATGCGCCGCTTTTATGTGGTAATCCAATAATCTTTTTCTTTTAAAACCTTTTCCACATTCGTCACACTTATAACGTTTATCATTATAATGCGTCGCTCGCTTGTGGGATTGCAGATTCGATCTTTGACTGCAAATAATAATAGTAGCAATGTTAACTTGTTACCAATTAATTTAAGCACAGAGAATTGTGTAACCCTTTAATTTTTATTACTCACCTAAATACTCACCTAAATGTAGCTCCACAAAACTCACACTGATAAGGTTTCTCACCTGTGTGAGTTCTCTCGTGATCACGAATTTCCGCTTTACGCGCAAACGATTTACCACATATACTACAGTCATAGGGTTTAAATCCGGTATGTACTATATTATGTACCTCTAAATTATGTGCAGAAGTAAAAGCCTTACCTTTAATTTTAAGAAAGATAATTGTTAAAAAGCAAATAAGAAAATATATTAACAAAAAAGGGATAATTAATCCCTGTGAAATTAATACAAAGAATAAAATAAAATTAAATTTATTAATTATATGAAATATTATAAATCTTACCACACTGATGGCATATAAATTCCTTTGTGCCATTATGTGTTCGTTCATGCTGATTCAAATTTTGCTGGCTCAAAAATGTTTTATTGCATTGAGTGCACTCGAATGGACGAGGTCGTACTTCGTGCGTTTTTACGTGCGCTTTGTACGTATACTTGGATGCGAAGTCCTTACCACAGATTTCACATATGTATGGACGAACTCCAGTATGTGTGTTTATATGTTCCTCTAATAAATTTTTGGAACTAAAACGAAAAAAAGACGAAATATATATATATTAATTATTTCCTTTTTTTCATATTATTTATATTTTATTATTTATTGGGTTTAATACTATACTTGTATCTCTTTCCACATGTTTCACAGGGCCATGATTTTACTTGCGGATAATGTATTCTTTTATGAATACGGAATAATCGCAAGTTACTAAATATTCTATTACATATTTCGCATTGAAAGTCCCCTTCCTCTTTTGCGACGTGATCATCAAGATGTGTGGAAAGTTCGTTTCTCTTTCTGAAATCCTGCCCACATACATCACAAATATACAAACGTAAGTCATGTACGTCTTTCATGTGAGTTATAATAAGTTTAGCATCTGCCATGAATTTCTGTTCGTCGTTTGGACATACCAAACAGGTGTATGAAGATTCATTTCTAAATACAATCTAGAAAAAGATGTCATTAATTCATATATTATATATATCAAAAACATTTATATATAATTTTATGTTGCTAGAATATGAATTCTTCCATACATACATCTTCTTGAGGTTGTTCTACTTTAATTTTACTCTTCTTTGATTTTTTTGTATCATTTGAATTACTTGTTTCATCTTCTTCTTCAACTTCTGTGAAGTAATGTAAAGAGTTATCTTGTTCTATAAATAATTCTTGTTCTTTTTTTTCTTGCATCATCTCTTCTGCTACATTTTCCTCCTACGAATATTATATAGTTATATACTACTAAACTGTGGGTAACTTTACGAAACGCCGATTGACTTAATCGGCCGATTAGTCCATTGGAATTGGCCAATCCCATTTATCATTTATGGCAAATGCGATTGGCCAATTCTAATGGACTATTCAGCCGATTAAACTAATCGGCGTTTTGCAAAGTAATCTGTATCATGATAATTAATCGAGCTTTATATAGCATTTTACCTTTGTTAAAATATTTTGACTTTCTGTATTATCTGTATAATCATGATCGTTATATTCTTCATTTTGAAATATATCACACAACTTATGAATTTCAATTGTCTTTTTATAGCTGTTACATAATTCTGTTTTGAGTTTCGTTACTTTACTTTTAAGTTCATCTGCCTAAAATGGTAAAAAAAATGTAATTTTTTTATCAATTTTATAAATTTTTGTCAAAAAAACTATAATTGTTAAACTATAACAAAAACTATAACACAAAAGCCATAATTGTTTTTACCTCACTGAACTGCTTAAAACACTTTTTGCAAATGATAGGAGAATGCACAGAATCATGATCAATATCAATGCCTAAAATAGCTGATATAACATCCACAAGTGGTTTCTTAGATATGGTATAAGACTCATCAAAGATGTGTATACTGTTTCTAGCAGACAGCCCAACTTTAGTATTACACACCAAACACTGCATAGAATCTTTATCAAAGTCAGCCATCATGTTTCACTGCTGCAAATGAAATATTTTATTGTTAATGGTACTAGGTATGTAACTTAGAAATGTTATTCTGCTTCTCTAGTAATAAAATTTTTTTTCTGTTCTTTATCTCGTTAAGTTTATCATCAAATTTCTGAGAAATTCATATATAAATCTACAAATCTTCATCACGTCTCATTAAGCAAAATATTAGCATCTATTGGCAAATTCAAACAGATATTCATACAATTGTTTTATGTATATTAATAAGCTTGTGTTCTATTTGCAGAGGTGATATAATTTGATAACTATGAGAATCTAGTTTGTTAAATGGAAAAATTGCTAAATAAATTATTAAAAATTAAATAGCAAACTTTACTATTGTTTTGCCAGTCAATCTGCCAATAGATTGTTGTTATATTTCTATTGGTCTGTTATATGTCTATCTAAAGACACTTTGCAAAATTTGTTTTGAACAGATTTGATCAAGATTGTAATATAATACATTGTTTTTTAGAATATCCTGAATCATTATCGAGATTTCGACAAGAAAATTGTCTTTGAAAGACAATTATTTGATATCCATAATTGTCATCTTATGTTTCATATACATATGTATATATACACACACACACACACACACATATATATATATACATACATGTAAATACAATAATTGTTAAAAAGACAAAAATATATAATAAGTCTTAATATTAAACAATAACAAAATGAGTTTAAAAATGACATGTAAGAGTCACTTATAAAACTTGTAAAAAAAATAAATAAGTTTTTTTGATGTATTAAATATATTTGCTACTGCATAGTATTTAATGAAATGTATAATTGAAACTTTGTCATACTGAACTTATTTCAATCAAGATTGTGAATCTCTTTGATTATGTTCTATTGCATAGAGAACTTTTATACAGGGTGTTTGGTAAAGACTGTAACAATGCTTAAAGGTAGAGAGTTCTCAGATTCCTGAGAACATTTTGAGATGAAAATTGTAATACCACAACATCGAGGTTCTAATAGTTTTTGAGTTATAAGCACTTAAAGTTTGAATCATACCGTCTAAAGTTCGTGTGTTCAGATCAGTTCAGATGTGAGATGCGATACAACGGAAAATCTAACCGCATAGCTAAGCGCGCGAACTTTAAGGCGGTATGATTCGCTACCTTTAAGTGCTTATAATTCAAAAACTATTATACTCCAGATATCTTGATATTAAATTTTCGTCTCAAAAAGATCTCGAGAATCTACCTTTAAGCGTTGTTACGGTATTTACCAAATTACGGTCTGTACACAGAATTTAGAACTCCTGTGTGATACCAAGATTGTCAAATGTAAAAAACAGGCTGCAAAGATTGTTATTAATGAAAAATTGATTCTTGTGAGAGGTTTTGAGAAGGGAATTGGTCATGAATTAATGGGTATCATTCTAGAAACAATTCAAAGTTTTCCATGTAACTTAACATTTAAATTCTAATACATTATCACGAAATTCAATTCTATGTGATATCGTGTACTGTAATTTTTTACATACTAACTTAACCATCTTAAAAATTGTTAAATGCTAATGATTAGTTTTAAAAATTGTTATAGTTATACTGAAGATGAGCTAATTTAAGATTGAAATGTCTATGTATATGAGATATTAAATAAACTTTTGCATTAAGAACATTCGGTGGCCTATATGGTCCTCTATTAATTAATATTAGTTTAATTCAGAGAGCTATTATCTTTTATAATTTTGAACTTATTTTTTGCTCAACAAGTTCTGCGAGTGATGCAGCTTTTTTCCAACTCATTTTGTTCCTAGACAACAGTGTCCAAAGCCGGTATTCGTAATCAGATCTTATATTCAAGACCGTCTTAAGAAGTCACGAACCAATCAGAGGGCCGTATTAATGTCTTAAAACATTACTTAAAACAATCTTGAAATAAGAATGGACTATGAACCTACCACCTTAAAAATTGAAACACAAGACATCTTTGGTGTCTTAAAGACTTAATTTTAGACTGTGTTGTCTGGGTTATTATACAATGATGATATATTCGCCAACCGTTTAATGCAAGATGTATATATAAGCGAATCGACGACATCGAAGCTCCGAATGTTAAAACGTTCATTCCTGTTCGACGCATCGCGTTTAAGATGTCGACGTGTACAGTTTATTGTCTATTCGCGGTTTCATTGTCTGTAAAAATACGTTGAATCTCCGTGCGAACAATCTCGTATTGCGCGAGACTCGCAGTTTTCAGGTTTAACGAGAGCCACGCTAGCCTTGCACATTGCCAGAAGATGCGAGCGTGAACGCGTGACTCGTCGACAAGCACGAGATTGCGACACGCATTCGACGCGGAACACAAGCCGTCCGTTTCTTCTGCCATGTCCGCGTCGAACACGGGACGCCGTCATAGACGAGATCCGTAGAGTGGCAATGAGAGAACCGCGAGTATATCGCCGAAAAATGATACGCCGTTGAAAGAAATGCCTCCGATCACGCACATGATTCTACGTGAGCGTAAGCACGTGCGCCGTGATTCACAGTAATCACAGCTGAGAAGGCGACGGCACGCGTAGTAATCGTAAATGGTGATCGGGCGCGACAACGATAATAAGACGCAAAAAGTTGTCAGCACTGACTTGAAATTTTCATTCCCTGATGTGAACAATTGGCAGCGAGAGAGAGTTGAACAGCAGCCGAGCGGTGTTTGATGACGACATACACATTCGCACGATGAAAGGTCGTATCAGGCCGGGTATCCGTCGCGACGCCAAGAAATCTTGAAAATGGCGACGTATTCGTTACCCGCGCGTTTTTACTTATCCGGCGGCCTTCGAGAAAGGATCTGGAACATTACACGTCGGAAACGGAGCGCCTCCCGCGCCATCTGCAATAATGACGCGCAGCCATGTTAGGTTCGTTGCATGGGAACGACAAGCGATCCATCCGATTGAAAGTATTGAAACGAATAAATAATCTACTTTTCTTTCCGCTGAGACAATAGTTGCTTTCCATTTGCATACTAGTGAAATTGAGTCTGAAGTGAGCTGAGTATTTCATACTGAGATTAATGACGTCATTATTTGCGTAGTTTGGTAAAAAGTTATCACATGACGACACATGTTCAAACCTGACTTTTAAAGTGAGTTTACTCACTAAAGCACACGGTCTCGATCTTGTGCAGATTATAGACAAAAACTCAATTAAATCTCATTTGTCAGAATGCAAAAGGGACGCGCATTCAACTGAAAATTATCTGAGAATCGATGTAAATGGAAAGCAACTAATGATGATCCTTTTTTTATAACATAACAGACAACAGCTACAATGGATGCATACAGTACATTTTTATGAGCCGCTCAAACTAGCCATTTCAGCGACAAAAAGATCACGTGATCCAAATCGGCGCTTAATATTCGTCAATTTTGACCACGTGAGCCTTGTTGTCACTGAAATGACCGGTATGATCAGCTTGTAAAAGCCATAGAGAAATCTGAGAAAGAACAAATCCAAATAACTAAATCAAATTAATAAAGATTTCAACGATTTCAATAATTCATTTCCATCAGAAGCACTGCAAAAAGTTGGATATTGTTGTGTAGTTAATATTCACTTTTTCAGAGGGTGGTAGTGCGCGGCAGCATTTTGCGGTTACAGGTTTTGAGCCGTCATGTCTTCTCTCAAGTTTCTCTCTGCTACGAATGTCGCATAAGAGACAAAGGTAAACTGATGCCAACTGTAAAACGCGAGATATATTTCAGGTCGAGAAGTTGGCACTCAATCTTTCCTTGTCTGACATAATTTATAATGTATCTTAGTTTCTCTTTCTAACCTCCATAATTTCTGTTTTTAATTAAATATTGCAGTACTTGGCATTAGATGCACATTTTGGATTGTTAATTTTTGCGAGCGATCGCCACTACTGCTCGAGTCTCAATCCATCGAGAGTTTAAACCGGATCAGAATGTAAGAATCAACCAATTACAGTCGAGCAT